GCATACTAAATGTTTTTTCTTCTTCTTTAGTTTATGACTTTGTTGACGAAGTTACTACGATTTGTTGTTGATTTTCTTAAACTCTTGCCCAACAATATCCATAGTACACATACACATTTACATCTCCGGATGAAGAGTGATACATCTGTACCCCTAAAGCTCATCTGTTATAGTTACTGCCATTTTCTTGTCCGGGCTATACACGTCATTAAAAGATGACGCAATACATAGTATGTTTCTTTCGCTTTTTGGCTCCGTTGATCAGAACACTTTACAGATGCAAACCTAGTGAAGCTGAGGATGCGTTAACCAGTATCAGGGTTAACACCTGGGGCACTTTTACATGGAATTTATTACGGGCATATATCCGTCATATAAATTACATAAATCTGTAAAGTTTACAAGCGATCAAACATATTCTACCGCTCGCATACACGTCAGCGAAATCAAGGTAAACATATGGAGAGTCCATCTTAAACAGTAATAGTTATATTTACAGAGTGTCGTAGGCGTAAATATTTTGAGCATGAATACATCCAATAAAATATATCATTTTAGATGTTTAAAATGACAGAAAAGTAACTAGATAAATGATTATTCTGAATATAGAATAATATATCCAGACAATTTTATGGGTTGTGTAAACTATATATCAGCATTTGTATATTTTTCTGAAGTTGTATTTTGTTACAGATGTGTGATAGATCACTAGAGAATGACTCATACTGACTTTTAAATGAGATTAAGTAAACCTACCGTTATACTTCTGTCTGATATAAAGTAAACTAGTCTATAGTTTGTAAAATCACAGCCATAAATATCAAAGCTACACGGTATATAGCAGACATAAGTACGTATAATTTAGATCATATATGATCATGTCACCTATACGAGTCGACACATTATGTGTGGGAACTAGGTTCTGTCCGATGAATTAGAAGAACAAAATAAAAAGGCAGGGTTAAACATGAATAATGCAGCTTATTTGTAATTATTTTTCTGGGTTTATCGCCCTTGAACAGCCATTGTCATTTTGAGGCGGGGTCTCCTTCTAGTAGCTGCTGGCTACACATGAACAACATACGGGAGGTCCGTCTCGTACGCTGTCTAAAGCAATTAGGGTTAAGTGTCAATTGCACAAGGATACACCAGTGATAGCACAGACTAGTCCATTTCAACTCCCTGCGAACCACGAGTCGCCGCGAGACCATCGGACCAAGCACCTCAGATCCGACTGAGTTGTCGCAGTCGGTCATAACTACGTATATAACGCCCCTTTGTCAGATTGCTTCCTTTTTGAAAATATGTGTTTCTACTAGCAATCCAGTTCCCAGACTCTCTTCTAAATCCTGTCTATGAAAGAAGCCGTTGTCATTTCCAAAATCAATACGTATTTAAGGGTGTATGCTATCTAAGTATGATTTGTACCTCCGTCAAAAAAGTGTTTAATACTATATAATAGAAGTACGTTATAATCATAACGCAACCAGTAAAGCACTGTTTTAAGAACTTCTATACAACTGAGCTATATCAGCTTTCTACACTAATATGAACTAGCGTAGGTTCCAAACGAGGCTCTTGCATGACTTTATTCAGGGACGTATAATATCATCTCATTCGTCCTGCTATGCAATGCACCAAACTGATAATTCAGAAACACAGTAAACTAATTGTTTAAGACGGAAATTGTACTTCATTACCTGTCTTGTTATGAGTAGACGTCCGTTATTCCCAGTAATTCCCTGTAAAACGGCGGGTCACCCAAAGTTTTAACCCTGGTTTGATACAGGATAATGCACGGTAAGAGCAGAGACATATATAACACATATACGTCTCTGGTAAGAGAGGGTGGCTCCAAATTTAACAAAAAGTGCCTATTTAAAATTTCGATAATCTTCAATAAAAACCTTGTGTTTTTTCATGAAACAATTTCAGTTTGTTTGTTCTGTAAGTCTTACGGCTTTAAAGATATTACAAACGACATCGATGCAAATATCTGCACACACCCGTCAGTTTCGTCCAAGGACAAATACATATTACTTATCATTGTCAATCAATACCTTTTACAAATATTTGGCACCCGATACCTTTCTTGGCCTAAGATAATGGTCAGTTTTACAACACGAGTACACCAAGGATCGCAAATAACCACTTTTGTGTCATAATTTATCATCATGAGACAATGGGTTATCACCTGCAGAGGAAAAACACACCGTCACAGACATGTGTATTGGCACGAGAATAAAGCGAGCTGCTGGCCAACGGTCGCGTGCAGACTTACTTGTACATAAATGCTACAGTACATAGATACCGGTAGTCACGCTAGAATAGTGATGCAATTTACTTGACATGCATGACAAAGTAAGAATTATTACCAAATTCCCATCTCCTTCGTCTGTATTACCAAAATATTATTACCTGTGTGATCGTCACTACAGGTTTTAATAATATATGGTAATGTTGTCTGTTTTTACATGTAATTTTACATGTAAACCTATGAAGATTCATGTGTAAAAGTGGAACTCCCTGCCGAATCATTATTTGTTATTTTGTACCAGATCGAAGTACGTCATTCTTTCATACTATATCTGAAAGAGGACATGTCGAGAATACTTCAGCTCTTATCGTGTCTGTAGTCTGCTGAATCACTGCATTATATCGGGTGTACATTCAAGTAGTCTTAATGAAAAGGCGAAATTCTATGCATGGCAAATACCCGGAAATTTTCTAAAGTGTTCAAAATTGAAATTTCTCGAATGCAGAGTGACATGCATGTTCTCACCATTTATCGGTTAATTTGGGTGTTATTAGTGTACAGCTGAGATATTAGCCAAGGGATGCCTTATCTGTGAGTTTATTGTGACCGACTTTATAAATAATTCAAGGAACTAGCGTACGAAAGGGTACAACGATGACCTTGAAAAGCTAGAAGGTTACTCTCTGGCAAGGACAGGATACGAGTGTAGGTAACGTTTCTTCAGCCTTCTTTTTTCACTGTGTGACAAATATGTAGGTATTTTAATCATTTTTTTTTTACTTCAAATGTGTTGAATTTGATTTTTGTTATCCAAGTAGTAGTAAAGAGTATACATTGATTCTGGGACCATCTTTACCAGAAATAACAGTTGCGCTATATACATATTACATAATTATTCTACGAGTTATATAACGATCATGCTCTCACGTATGGAAAGTAAGACATGCTGAAGTGTTTCCTGCCGTAAGCGGATGTCCGGAACGTGGTATCCCGAGACCAGCAGCAACAGGTGTATAAGAATTCAGGATCGAACTCGGTCGCTCTGTGACTATATTAGAGTTACCTCTCTTTCAGCTTGAAATGGAGGGCGGCTGTGTGTCTTTTTTCATTCTTTTCAGTGAAATTCACGGTGCATATCCGCATCAAATGTGTTACAGTGAGTTAGCATGATATTAAGGATATACAATGTATTATAAACATCTGTGTTGAGTTCCATTTATCTACATTATTATGTAATTTATTTTTATCGTTATGTTGTACGAATTATCTTTTTTAATTTTACAAAATTGTGTGCCGTTTTTTTAATCTCGCTTATAGAGAGACCTAAATGTGATATCTAGGTTTCTGATTTCTACATAGACTTGCATGTTTTAAAACATCCGTAACATGTAATATGTATTTGACCTTCTGTTGATGTCCTCTACATCTTTATCACGACCTGATGTGTATGCAAGCGAAGAACATAAGATATGTTTTCAGAGGAACTAATATAAGCTCCAATTTCTTATCCTCCCATATGTAATATATGTATGTCTAATATTATTGAATATTGAATAAAATATTGTTTAGACTAAATAAATAGATGTAAATAGACTTGACTGCTAATAACTTTTCTAATGGTTTCTGATAATCAGATTTCTTGAATATGAAGACAGAAACACATTTAAGAACATGAGTGCTTACTATTCGTGGTTATATATTTTTTAAGTATACACTATTTTAAATACCAATATTATAACAAGGTTTCCTCTAGGAACTGTCTCTAAGTGTGTTATCATTCCTGTAGGTGGTGACGGCGTGCCCACATCAGTTCATCAAATAAACCATATCTTACCTTAAAACGTTTACCATAAACATATCTGTTTGAAAACACACTGAAAATATATGTGATCAGAACGCCCTTTTTTCATTAGTCACACACATTTATAAAAGGAATAAACACACACACTAATTAAGAGATAACCCATATCATTTCAAATCATGATGTGTTTTATTTCATGATTGGAATTCGGAATATTAGCGGAAAACTGGGACGTTTAGTACTGTAGTACACCATCTTTTCACCTACCTCTATCTCAAAACAATACAAAAGATAGATTGCCTACTGTTGAAGCTTGGAAGGTAATTAAAAGCACGTGCATCGCCCCATAAATGTGAATGACAATATACACAACGTACGTCAGCTTGCTGCAGCGGCTGTGGAAAATCCAATGGGAGAATGCGATACATCTTTACTGCAAGTAACGGACACATCGGCTGTTCCAATAGCTAATTTTACTCCATCTATATATGAATCATAACTCGTAGCTAAATACAAGATGCTGGCCGATTTTAATCTTATCGTCGATGGTGTGTACAGAATGTAGATTAACCGGCTATCGACAGAGCCCGGTACAGGTACATGTGCATTTATTATGTAAAGAAGACCGTCTCTGTGATGACCCCGAGGGAATGACATCAGAGTATTACTAAGCCATATTTTGCAATGACTGGTGAAGCGGCCATTTTCCTGCAGACATTCTACTTTTATTTTGACGATATGGAACATATACATGTGTAAGGTGTGTAAGTGATGGTCTCAGGCACATCAGAAAATCATATTTTATAAATGTCTGGGATTTACTGAATAAGTGTTATCGGTGAGAGATGACTGAACGGGAAATCGTTCGTGCTGGCCCGCACGCGCGACCTCAATCTCGCACCTGCCTTGACCTAATCAATTTCTATGTTTATTTTTGGACAGCTAGGGGTATGAAATTCGATGGAGGGGTATCTTTGATGATAGGGGCGTAACGGGTGGATACAATGGACGCGAATCTGTCGGATTACTACTACAGGGAGTATGGAACCGGCGAGAAAGAGCTGCCATTTTCCCTGCTTCAACTTGATCCACCGGACAGAGCCGTGTTGAAAATAGCAGGTATGTTTATAAATTGGTTTGTAAAATGTTCTCCCAGTAGCGGTTTTATCTTATCAGTGATATCCATGTATTTGTATGGCGAGAGGAATATCATATTCCACCATTACACTGTTGCTAAATATAACCGTCGGATCTAACGTGACCTTAGAATCCACGTGTTGTGTCAATCAATTTTCACCGGTAATGCAAATAGACTAGGTGTTTTCTCCGCGTAAACAGTCTGAAGTTGTCCTATGTTTGCGTTGTCATGTTGGTATATTGATGACACCGGCATACCTATCGCGCACGCCTATTACTACCGTTAGTTAAACTTCACACAGTCAAAGTGAAACCTCCCATAAAATATAGGACATGTTATGTTACTTATATTGTAGATAGTATGCGTGTACAGATTCGGGACCTCCACTCAGCCGAATTTTGTTGCTAAATTTAGACTCCATTGATACGTCATTGGCGAAGTCCCCTTACCGCCACGGGAGTATACTATACAGCTGTTATTGCCCATGCAATGATGTTACGGTTGACTGACGATATAGGTACAATTGTCACCTGTGAAAGGAGCATGTGTATGTTCTGTAGTGAAACATCGTCCACATACCAAGGGTGAACCTTCCCCTAGAAGGCTGGGCAGGGAAAGTTCTCTACCACTTATGTGTATTGCTCGTTTTAAACTGGAGGACATTTATTTGCACTCTGGGATTTAAACACATGAGTCAGTGGTGGTGTTAGTGAGCTACTTGTGGAGAAGAATGTCGTGAACAATTTGATAAGGTGGACAAACTAGGTTTTTGTTGCACTTTCAAGACCTGTATGTAGTTATCACGGATAGGTGACATATCTGGATTCTCACCTGGGAGTTAATCAGTGCTGATTAGAATATTTGGATCAGATTGCATAATTGGCAGAATAAAGATTAAATTCTACTGACGAAAAAATATGTTGTATACAGGGTTTAAATAATGCAGGCACTACAATTCTTATCTTAAAAAGTGTGGAAATTTAGGTGTTGTGAAAATGTGGGGTAGTACCTCACAGTATGACCCAGCGGAGGTCCCCCCCTCCCCGCGGGCCATGATGCAGTACGAGGAAAACCGCAGGAAAGAGAGGGGTAGGTACTACTGATGTGTGGTTATACCTGTTGTCAACAGATAGAAGCATACTTGACCTTTATGACCAGGTAGCATGTGATTTTAAACAAGCGAGTAGTGAGATTTCTACCTGCAATAGGATATAGGTATATTACTTTTGTATCGGCCACCCCATAACAAATACACTGGTGTGTACAGAATTATGATCCCCTCCTATTGTACACATGTAATGTAATATAAATATTTTTTCTTAATAGGTTAATAAGGCCTTTACCCAGTTGATGTTGACATAGCTATGAAATATGATCAGGGTCAATTATCAATGGTATTTGTAAGAGTACATAATCTACATTGTACTAATGATTACAGCTTGCTGTAGTGTATTCAGCAATATTAAAGATGTGTCATGATTTCTCAAATGAAATGTGAAAGTGATGAATATCATGTTTGTTTGTCATTACACTAAATAAATGTATCTTCATTTTTAAAGAATGTTTCAATTATTGTATAAACTTTAGTTGGCGAGTAAGTGATTTAAACCATCAGAAATACTTAATAATTCACATGCTCTGAGAAACCTGATTAACATATGAGTCACCTGTTCATGAGATCTGGATAGTACATAGTCATATTGAGTATATAAATATGCCAGTTTTAATGGTCATAGAGTGTCAACATTTCACCTCACTGTCAATCACTGGGACTCTTTTGAAATTTAAATTTCAGTGTGTTATGTGTTAAACTAGGTATAAGTTTCACTGAAGAAATGTGTGTGAATTAAATGCCATTTGGTAAACTTTATAAATGGTTGACAAAAAGCAATGAACATTCAACATGAAGAGATTCAGAACAACACAAGCCCTGGTAGCATGGTCTTTACAAACCATGCTCTTCATTTTAAATATCTTAAACAGGCATCTGTTTATATGTTACATGTATAATGTTGGTGGAGGTGTTTACATAATACTGCAGGGGGTTGATGTACAATATTTAAGAGTCCAGTATACAAACATATGATTGACAACTTACATAGATAGTATTAGGTATCTTATTTTAATGAAAAATTATGATAGGGGCTAGCTTTGGCATGGTGATGGCACAGGGGACTGATACTATAGGGGCTAGCTTTGGCATGGTTATGGCACAGGGGACTGATACTATAGGGGCTAGCTTTGGCATGGTCATGGCACAGGGGACTGATACTATAGGGGGCTAGCTTTGGCATGGTTATGGCACAGGGGACATGGTTATGGCACAGGGGATACTATAGGGGCTAGCTTTGGCATGGTCATGGCACAGGGGACTGATACTATAGGGGGCTAGCTTTGGCATGGTTATGGCACAGGGGACTGATACTATAGGGGGCTAGCTTTGGCATGGTCGTGGCACATGGGACTGATACTATAGGGGGCTAGCTTTGGCATGGTTATGGTACAGAGGACTGATACTATAGGGGCTAGCTTTGGCACGGTCATGGCACAGGGGACTGATACTATAGTGGCTAGCTTTGGCATGGTCGTGGCACATGGGACTGATACTATAGGGGGCTAGCTTTGGCATGGTCGTGGCACATGGGACTGATACTATAGGGGGCTAGCTTTGGCATGGTTATGGCACAGGGGACTGATACTATAGTGGCTAGCTTTGGTATGGTCGTGGTACAGGGGACTGATACTATAGTGGCTAGCTTTGGCAAAGTTATGGTACAGAGGACTGATACTATAAGGGCTAGCATTGGCATGGTTATGGCACAGGGGACTGATACTATAGGGGCTAGCTTTGGCATGGTTATGGCACAGGGGACTGATACTATAGGGGCTAGCTTTGGTATGGTCGTGGTACAGGGGACTGATACTATAGTGGCTAGCTTTAACAAAGTTATGGTACAGAGGACTGATACTATAAGGGCTAGCTTTGGCATGGTTATGGCACAGGGGACTGATACTATAGGGGCTAGCTTTGGCATGGTTATGGCACAGGGGACTGATACTATAGGGGCTAGCTTTGGCATGGTTATGCCACAGGGGACTGATACTATAGGGGCTAGCTTTGGTATGGTCGTGGTACAGGGGACTGATACTATAGTGGCTAGCTTTGGCAAAGTTATGGTACAGAGGACTGATACTATAAGGGCTAGCTTTGGCATGGTTATGGCACAGGGGACTGATGCTATAGGGGCTAGCTTTGGCATGGTTATGGCACAGGGGACTGATACTATAAGGGCTAGCTTTGGCATGGTTATGGCACATGGGACTGATACTATAGGGGCTAGCTTTGGCATGGTTATGGCACATGGGACTGATACTATAGGGGCTAGCTTTGGCATGGTCATGGCACAGGGGACTGATACTATAGGGGCTAGCTTTGGCATGATTATGACACAGGGAACTGTATCATGATTATATATTTACTATGTAAGTATGATATTTTATATGAACTTTATATCTGAAAGCTGTAGAGAGTGAAGATTATACTTGTATCCCTACCAGGACTCATGTCTGTACTCTGATCTTCATAAAGTCAGATCAGCCTCTTAAAAGTCCATGTGATATTTTGTGAATTTCCATTGAGATAGCCTTGTAGTTTTATCCTGGAAACTGTCACAACAAAAAATATTTGTCATGTAACATTTCGATGAAAGATTTAACAGTAAATAGAGCCAGCATTGATGAGTTGTACAGTGCAGTATGTTACCTTAACCTGGATACCGAAAAGTATGCATTGTGATTAATGACATAATGAATATATAGATAGGTAGAATTAATCAAAACAAGTTCTAAGTGTCACCGGTAAGTTTGATACTAGTGTTTATTGTTAACTAGCTTTGTCTCTTTGGTTGAGGCCTCATCAGGACTATTCTGTGAAAGATAATACCATGGTTTGATTTTTTGTGCAGGGAAAATATTGCAATATGGGCAACAATTAATGACGTATTAAAAATTTTTGATAGAAGAATGTTCATGATGACATTTTAGATATGAAAATTCTAAACATTCCTCAAGTATTTATCATCATTTAATTCATGCCAAAGAAAAAGAACAACAAAGAAAAATTTAGGTTCTCAGGTTTGGTTATTGTGACCTGATCTACATGAGCGTATCTTTAAAGTTTAGAATTAGCTTCAAAGTTCTTTCTACTTTTGTTTGGATAGCAATGAGAAAAAAGTGGTATTCATCATATAAACCTTCCACATGATTTATGGTGCATGATAATTCTTAATTAAATGTAAAAGATGAATTGATAATGAAATTAAGTCAAATATTAATTTTTTTCTTCCAACAGATGAAAGGGATGCCGTTCAAAAGAAAACATTTACAAAATGGATTAATAAACATTTATTGAAGGTAAGGACGAATTCTATAGCTTTGATTATTTAGGATGTCCTGTTGTCACATTTCAGAGATACATGAAATATCTAATCATTTCGGCTCTCTGATCTTAGGTGATGTGTTGAAAGACATTTTACTCCTCCACAATTTTTGTGTCATATTTCATCTTTTCATCTTAAAATATATTTTGACTAGAATGCACTAGACTATGTCGAGAGATACCCAGTAAGGCCATCAGATGGGAGTTTATTTTCACTAATGTCTTTACATGTAATATGAGGTGACATATATGTAGTAGATGCCTTTTACATAACTGGCCCATTTCCAAGTTCTGTGTATTACTATTTTACACATGAGGAGAAAATATGAAATCATCATTTATCATATAACCGATCTGAAACCACACATGTTGTGAAATATATGTAGCTAGGCAGTTTTGGTCAGGAAGCTTTTCTCTCCTTCAGAATTTCATCTCTTGTCTTGAAAATTCATAACTTTCATACACATAAATAACGCTCATGGCATATTTTTGTACCACAGACATTTTTACTAAGATGTCAAATATAGTAAAAAGTTACAGAGGATAGAAATTGGGAGCCAGTTGAATATGGTGGAGTCACACATTGGTATGTGACAACACCAACAGTGTGACGTTCTTTTAAGGAAGAGTTCTGAAGTACAGTCAGGTACAAAGTTTGCCTGATTATCTATTTTTCTGGTGCCTGTATTGTAAAGGAAGCAATTAACCCTTGGTAACAGTAATATAAAGGTTTACTGTAGCTTTTGTCCTCTATTGATTTGTTGTTGTGGTGTTGAACTTAGCAGACTGGTTTAGTATTACAACATTGATATCACATTGAATCTTCAGTAGCTATAGAAGATTTAGGTTTAAAAAAAAAGTAGTAAGATGGAAAGTTTGAGGGACACTTGACCATACTGTGTTTGATATATCTTAAGATGTTACAGTTATAAATGTAATTAATTATCAAGTATGAAGAATTTGTAATCAAGGAAGACACCACCATAGCAATGATTCTGATGCTGAATTGGACCCAAATTAGATGATATTTGTTATAATTGTTTATAAAGTACAATAAAGGCCTTCACACCTGTCAAAGTGGATTAAAAGCAGATTGAAAAGGGTTTCCAACTGAAGAGATGAACAGAAGGAATGATGGATGGAATGACAGACGGAAAGGACAGACAAGGAAAGGACTATTTGCTCATGGCCTTTTAACTCTAATGGCTCGTGGTGATTATTAACATCTCCAGTCCAGTGTTGGTCCAGTGTTAGCTGTGTCAATGTTTGTAGGATCAGAACTATTAGAGTTTGTAGGATCATAATTGTTAAAGTTTGTAGGATCATAAATGTTAAGTTTGTAGGATCAGAATTGTTAAAGTTTGTAGGATCAGAATTGGTAGAGTTGTATGATCAGAATTGTCAGTTTGTAGGATCAGAATAAAATTGGTGGGATTGCAGCATCATTATTTGTAAACCGTCACTAAATATTTGAAGAAGATCAGTGCTGCTTGTTTTTACAGATGGCTCTCCATCTTTTTATCTTTTTAATGACATTGCATTTCTTGCGGAGATTGTTTGATGTGAGCGGTACTTCATTAGCTAATTAACAGGCAGACCTTGACAGTCTGTAAGGGTGATGATGATTCAGACATTCCACAGTGTTTACCAGGCAGTATAATTAACAACTTCATCAAGTATTTAAAATGCTATTGATTTCGATAAAACCAGTTAACATTGTTAAGATAAAACAGATGTAATTCAAATTTACTCCATTTTATACAAATAAGAGAATTGTGGGTACATTACCATTGAAAAATAATCTGATATTAAGGCTGAGTGATGAAGCATGATTGAATTGTTTTAGATTGTTAATAGTAAATTTTTTTTTTTTCTAAAATATTGTTAATAAGAAAATATTGCTTTGTTATCGGAATCCCATATCGATGTAATGACAGATTTGGTTAGGCACATGTTTATCTATCTGGCTTACAGCCACGACTTCATGTCGGTATGTGTGTGGGGTTATGGTAAAATTTTATTATTTTTGATGTACAAATGGGATGATTGTTATGATTGTAGGTAGAAACACAGGCCACATAAACGCTGTGATGGCCCAGGGTTAGGGTTGGTCCTGAAAAGTATTGGGCAGGCCACCACTGTCATCTAACTGTCCGTCATTTGTCACCACAGACAACTTGACCAGGAGCTATTTCTGTTAGCTTTGCAGGTGTGCACCATGAAAAATATTGCTAATTTTTTACACCTGAAGGAGTGAGTGTTTACTTAAGTGATGAAATAAACAAAGTGGACAGTGTTTTACAATTGTACATTGCTACCGAGGGAATTCTTCTTAACATGAATGTTGACCCAAGATTTCATAAACATAAATACTTTATCAGCTGATAAGGAAAGTTTATGTGAAAATTAATCTTTTTGTTGTCCTGGCAACATAAAATGATTTGTTTATTCTTCTGGTTACTTAAAATGATCTTTTTTTTACCTTCTTAAAACAAATGTAATAATTTTTTGAGACATAATTAAATTCCTGAAAAGAAGAAATTCATGACAAGATAACTTTCACCTTGAAGTATAAATGTTGGAGGGTTGTTCTGTTGTTTAACATTTTGAATACAGAGCTACATGTAATCATCATAGTGCTAATTTCTCTGTACATATCTATTAGTCCGTGGAAATATACATTTCAGCCTTGTCAAGTCTACGGAGGATTGATAGCTCACCAAGTGAAATGTATATTTCATCCCTTGAGGAGTACCATATGTTTTATCCTCATCATCTCAATGGGTGGTGCATACCAATTTTACTGTCAGAGTTCTGTTTATAAATCAAACTTATGTGAAATATGTCTATTGTGTGAAATTTTGTATAAAAAATGGTTATTTAATTAATGAAAAATGTAAATTGTATTGTATTTTTTCCCCTATGTTATTGCATAACAGCTGCTAGAGAACATTTATGTGCTGTGTACTTTAACACCATACAGTTAACATAAATCATGCTGGCAATATGTCTGAAGTTGATGAAAAATACGAAGATAGCATTTTTTTCTGTAAACAAAAAAGTAATGTATGATTGAAAGGAATAAGTGAGTAGTTTACATCAGTTTCATATCATAGTGTTGATTTCAACTTAAGAACACAATATGTTTATACAATTAGGAAACATTACATTAATTGGCCTGCTTTGCACACATACACATTTTACCAACTCTCATTATGTATATTATAGGGGAAAGATAGATATTGCCAATTCAGCATTCCAGGGAAAAATTTGAGCCAAGGTGCATGAAGTGAGCAGAGGCTGCAAGGGGCGTCCATGCAGGCAGAGAACAAAGCTCTTTTCATTTATTTCTACAGAAATTGACACAAAATGAAGCATTTAATTTGCATAATAAAATGAGCGTAATAGAATTGAAAAATAGAACAAAATTTCCAAAAATAAAATTTAAAGTAAAAATAAAATAAAATTAAAAAATAAAATTGAAAATTTATCAGTTACAAAAAGATGAATTTTATAGAGGTAAATAGTAGTTTTGGTCCAAATGACAGCAACATGCACCAAGATTGGGTGTCCACTATATCCTATATACTAGGTGAGTTTGTCTTTTTAGTACATTTTGTCTTTGCTAATAAAAAGCACAAAGTACCTGATAACTTCAAAGAGAAACAACATTGTAGTGATCTGCATAGCTGTAACTCATAGCAGGAAATCTATTTTAGATCCTAGGTAGATAGATTGATCTGTACGTCATAGATGAGTGCATTTTGATATTTTGAAGTTGTCATTTTGCACACAAATAAGTATAAATGTGATGGATGAGATTTCAGTACTGTGTGGACAGGTAAAAGGAAATCTGTGGGATCATCTTGTTAGATATGTGGCAATGAGGGAAGCTGTTCATCAATATGCACATCTCACATTAATTACAAATGCAACTATTAGGGCGGGTCTGAATACGAAGACATGAAAAGAAATGTGATAATGTAAGATAATTTTCTACGTTTCAAGTTTTTTGGTATAAAACTATATTAATGGATGCTGGCAAAATCTGTTGTAAATTTACAGTGATAGACATACTGACCAATAAAGATTAATATCACAACTTTTATTTATAAAATATTTACTAATTTTGACAATGGCATCACTATGATACACATACCATATTTTTTTGGGTTTATTTTTATGAGTGGAGACTGCAAGTGAAAATACATCTGGTATTTGAAAAAGTCTGTTATGCCAGTGGGGTTTGTCTTATTTTCAAAACCATTATAATTTGATATTTTTTAATTTTGTTTTCCAAAATACAATATGTTGCCAGCTAAGAAGTAGTAAAAATGTCACACTTTTCATATTTTAGTGAGATGTAATGTTGAAATATTATTTTCAAGAACTGTGATGATTATGTGTACTTGTTCTGGTAACTTGTATTATAAGTAAATATGGCACTGTACTGATGATAATGGTGAAGTCTACAGATCTGATATCATATTTTTCAAATACCTTAAAAAAATTAGGAATATCTTTAGAAGTATTCTCTACAGAAGTCAGATGTCTGACATTTCTTGACAATGACGTGTGTTCACAAGATATACAAGTAATAGTAGGTAGAATCAGTGTCCTGAATTACAACTGCTGAGAAACTCAGGCATTTGTCTTTCTAAATCTATGGATTTTCATTTTTTCTGAGTCCTTAATTTAAATGGCTTCTAAAGGAACCAATTCATTAAGATCTGTCTCCATGTGGGAGGAGAGGAAACTTGTAAGCATGCATTTATTTGATGAAGTATTTTATATGGGAAATTACTTGCACATAATAGTTGTAGTTTATCAAAGTGATTCCAGGTGAAGATAGCTAACTTTAAGACTTTCATTTGAACAGTGCAGTAAATATTGTGTATAATCCCTGTGCAGAGTTACTCAGTGACATTTGTGTGTGTAGGTTTAGGCTCATGTACACCTAGGTGTTACCCTTACA